CCCCAAAACCCCAAAACCCCGTTGCAAAAATAAAATATTTGATGAGAGTTTTAATCAATAATCTATAATAATATCTTCTGAAATCAATCAGTAAGATAAAAAGCCATAGTTTTTAGCTTCAAGCTTTGGCTGAACAAAGGGCTCAGAGAATTTAGGGGTTACTCTAGCACTGATCACACCATTTTGAAGTTTCAAATCAGCATCAACAATGTCTACCATGTTCCACAATCTCTTGGGGATTTAGAGGTCTTTTTCTAAATCAAGGATGCCAAACATCAATCCACTTGAAATAATGTCAAGCTTTACTATAAGGTCATCTAAGTCAATATCCTCTACTGTGTTGAATGGTACAAGTATCGTTCCAAAATTAATATTAACTAGAGATGGGTGAATAGTGAAGTTAGAGTATTTTAGGGAAATATCCATTGTCAAATTCTAGAATGTTAATTCCACAGCCTTGATATTTTTATCAGTGGCATAAACTGATAAATTGAAAGAAACTTATAGATGCAGTTTATCGTTATTGACAGAAGCAGAAGGTTATATCAAGTGAACTAGATCAAGTTAGCAAGGTTAGTTTTCACCATAAGTGTCTATTAACCCAGAGAAATAAGTATCTAGAGTAGAAGTGTTAAGATATTATTTGACGTTATCTGGTACTGAATTTTAAGAAAAATTTCCATTTAGTTTTTCATCTAAATACAAAGTGTAGAGGATTGTGTTAAGAACATATTCCCCTGCACTGAGTTAGATAGTTCCAATACTAGCATCAATAAGTTTGATCTCAGTGAGAGGAGTGGCTGGTCTTTATGGGTTAGTCTAATCTAAAATTAAGGCCCGTCAATGTATGCTTCAATCTATTGTCCATTGATTCTTGGTGCAGCCTTCAGAGCATAGTCCATAAAGTACTTATCTACTTCCATATACCCTTTCTAATTGAAGAAATACATGTTCATTTAGGTCTAAAGTTGTTGAGGAATAGAACTTTACATCAAAGATCCAACTAATGAGAAGATGTCTCCTTTGAAAGCTTGAACAAATAAGTTTCCAAGAATATCGAGCACATTACCATTCAATTAAATGTCAACTCTGCTAGGATCGAAGTTGAAAACAGTATCAGTTACCACAAAAGATGGAAGTGCTCTGTTATCAATCCCAGTCTGAGACTATAGAATGATAGTAATTCCAAGATTTATACCTCCTGGAGAAATATTCATTCTTAAATTTCCATCTGCTGTAACTCTACCTATTGGCCATGGTAGAACTTTGTAAACACTGAAATCCCCTTGGATCAAGCCAGAAATCATGTTGATTTAGACTTTAATTGCATTCCTTTCTGGCAGGAAGTTTATACTTATTCCTTAGGTTACATCTGCAAAAACATTGATGTTCAAATTTGATATTTTCCCATAGGGTAAGATGATATCTTGCTTTGTCATGCTGTTTATTTCTTTGAATAAGAGAGGGACAGCGAAATTTTTGAAATCAGTAACTACATCTTGATCAATCGCGGCAGCTATACCAGAGGGTAGAGCTAGCCCCAAACTTAGTACAGTTGTGAAGATTACTAATAATTTTAACATAATTATTATAAATTTGGTTAACTTTCTTTTTAAGTACTTACATATCTATATTTTTATCATAAATTTTGCTTTTTTCAATATATTAGATTAAAGGGGTTTTGGGGTTTTGGGG